TATAACATATAATATAGCATACTATACAATACTTATTATTATATAATATAAAATACTTATTTATAATATTTTTATATATTCAAATACACATACATATTTCTTTGTACCTTCAAGGCAGAACATCTCCCTGTCTTTCAGCAAGAATCAAACTTGTAGGATGCATTATATATTGAACACTTTCGTACCAGAAATTCAGTTCCAAATGAGAGTAAAACATTTGCATACAATCCATGATGATTGCCATGATTTTCAAAGTAAATATTGTGTTTTCAAAACTATACTGCAGGCTCGAATCTCGTAGCTCACCTGCCTTACACTTCATGTAACACATAGTATGTTGGTATAAAACATGGCTGCCATTTCGTATTTTTTCTACAAACTTTTGTTGGTCGAATTTTATGTTTACACTGCAGAAGTTATGCCAAAAAGTGCTAGAGTTTCAACAGAATGCACAATTGTGCATACTAAGAGAATAATGGAACATTATTTATACAACAATGACACTGTCACAAAGATATGAAGGTAAAATCAGTGATGTTGAAACTTGAAAATGATTTGGATTGTTTATATGAGAGACTGGTAAGTTTCAGTTGTATGTCTTTTCATATGGCACAGAAATGCCAACTTGGAAAGTAAAATAGTGGTGTTTATGGACAACTGAGATATGCTATAACATAAAAGTATGTCTTTTGAATGTAAAAGACCAAAAAAATATCACATCCAAAATGTTTTGTTATCTCTTTACAAAATATAACCAAAATGGGTAAAATATTAGCTATATTCGCCATTTTCGGATAGGCGGTCATATTCAATGGGGCCAAAAAACAGCATTTTGGATGTGAATTTAACTTTTTTGTTATTTTTAGGTTAAAGAAAGATAAAACTTACTAAAAATAAAACTTATAGGATAATAGCAGTTAATCGACAGAATTTCTGAGGGGTGCGCCCTATCAGCGCACCCCCGGTCATATCAACATGAAAACCCCCCGGTACAAATAGGGTTAAACGTATTGTTGATTTTTTACATGCTGTAATTTTGTTTGTCTGTTTGTTTGGTGAAAATAGGAATGTATTGTGTACTACAAACAACAAAAACTATGCCGTAACTCATTAATTAGTTAAACAACACCAGGTTTTGGAGATTTCAAACAATCAATCAGAGTTCCCTTTAGCGTGGTCTGGAAATTATGAAATATCTTACTCAGAACATTTTTTCAGAGTTGAAGTGCAAAGTTTGCCTTGTTCCAATTCACACTTTTGTCAATTTCAAGCATTCAAGCGTTTAGCCCATGAATTGTTTTTGGATATGTATAAAAAATAACTCGTAAGATGTACAGTGTATGTTAATTTTAATTTGTTATACCTATATCGATATGTACGTTATGTAATTATGTATACTGTAGTCTGTAGTCTGTAGAAATGTAAATTGTACTGCATGTAAATATATTTGATTATATAGTTAACTTTAGAAGGTCCAGTGGAAGATTAGCGAAAGCTAAACTGGCATATTCCCTTGTTAATTAACCTTCTTCAAATAAAGTGTTAATAATAATAACAATAATAATAATAATAATAATATTAATAATAATAATAATAATAATAATAATTATAATAATAATAATAATTTTGTAATATGAGAGTAACATAATACTTAAATTATCTAGATCTAGATATGAATTTTAATTATCAAAATCTGTCCACGCGATAAGTCTTAGTTTTTTCCTTAAAACATTCTGCCCGAAAACAAACTTCTGAAAAAATTTTCGTCACTTCTCTGAATTCCTGTCAGCCCTTTCGATTTGGGGCGCTCCGGTTTCAACCAGTAGCGTAGCAAATATTTTTCTTGTTTATTGACTGTGAAAACAATTAATTTCTAAAGAAATTAGCAATGGGAATGATTTTGAATTTGCATAGCGGGACTAAATGGTCGGGCTGGCTACGCCACTGGTTTCAACGAATCATAAGACTTGATCATAAGAAAAAGGCAGCGTTTCTGGTAATACTAGTTCGATGATCGAACCTTTTAGCTACCCAACGGCCTTGCAGCCTCTCGAAGGCTTTATATGTATTACAGCCTCATTATATTCCCAATATTTTTTATATCAAAAAGCCTTCAATTAATTAGGTAGCTATCTGCAGGGTGTAGGTAAAAAAAATCTAACTTAATTTGCCACGTTTTCGTTATAATAATTATGTTATTATTACATTAGCGTTATTGTTATTGTTATTTTATTTCTTTTTTCTTTTTTTTTCTTTACCAATAAAGATCAGGCTTTTAGCTGTCGAATGCTACCTTTCTTTTCAAATGGTTGTCGTACAATTGAATGACTGTTAAATTATGGTGAGGGGCAAACCTGTCAGCCTTGGTGTTGGAGACGGTATGCATGTCCTCTGCACCATTTATTTAACAGGAAAGAAACCACTCGTCTTCAAGATACGGAAGCCTGACATGGGCGGTTATACCTAGTGGCTGCGGAACGGAGGGTGGGAGCTATAGGCAGGCTATAACCATTATAGATCATGCGATGTTACATCTTTTTATGCCAATATTATTTCTTACGAAAATACATTAAACAAGAAATGATGAGACTTAAGGAAAACGTGTGTTGCAATACCACGTGACCAGAAATAGGCAATAGCTGGTTCTCCTAATTTTTGAAAACCACAAGGAACTCTGGTATTTGAATTCAGCAAGATATTAAAATGGCGTCCAACGTTATTTCAGAGAAACGTTGTACTGTGTCTGAGGGAAACTCCAGTTTTTTTAGAACTCTTGCAGAAGTTTGAAATCAGAGATGCCTTTTGGAGGTCCGTTTAAGTCGAAAAACATTTGTCCGAACGGTATAAATGTCGGACGAAATAGCGGGTTTACTCATTGTAATTATAAAACTGAAAAAATCTAAAATGTATTGAACGTAATTATACCTAGCTTAAAGTTTGAGGTATGCCTTGCACATTTCTATAAAATATTAGCCAATATATATGCATTTACACTCAAGGTAGCGTTTTTGAAAGGAGAGAAAAATTGTATAAAAGGGTCAATTAATTTGGATCATGGTAATAAAATGGTAAAAACACGCAACAGTAAGAACGAATATTTGACACCGTCTTCCAATAAATTGTAGAACATTCATTAGTAAAAACATACACCCACCACCCTGAATACCACGTCTTCCGCGGGAAAGCATGCAGTCGAACGCATTTTCGATCATTTCTTGCTCCAAGTTCTGATTGTCCAAAAATGTGCGATTGTCCTTAAATGTTGGAATAGGAAATGTATTTTATTTAATTAGTGTCTTTCCAAGTTTAGTTTTAGTGCTGGTCAACTCTCAAACTTCTTGTTGCTTTTCAGCTGCAGCTGTTGCTTTCAGCTCCTCAGTTTATTTGCCTCTCTATTTTCATCATGTTCGTCAAATCGTAGTATCTTTGGCAATAAAGCTGACGTTCCCCTCTCGCCTAAAATTTCGCTTCTAGGAAGCATACAGTTTCGTAACCTGAAGTTCAGGCCCTATTACAGAATAGGGCCTGACACAAAACCTATCTAAACTGTGGAATTCCCGTCCACCTGGTGGACGGGAAATCTGATTGGTTGATCAGCATCATGAAGGATTTTGATTGGTTGCAAGTTTACATAAACAACAGTTTTAAAAATAGCTCG